AATAAATTCAAGTAAAAATTCACTTATTAATTAGTTATAGTATTTTAACTCTATAAGTCTATTTATAAGTTTATTAACTTTAAATAATAGATAATAATTCTTGATAGTAATTTTATCTAAAGCTTTATAATTAATATATAATTTTAATATATCTTCTTTTTATATATAAATAAAATTAATATTTCAGATAATAAAATACTAAAATAAATGAAATTTTTTAATATAAAATTAATTAAGCTTATTTATTTTTATAAAAGAAATCTATAAATTTAATTTAAATAATAATTTAAAATTAGATATAAAATCAATTTTATAATTAATAACTTTCTTGAATAATAATTTATTTAATAAAATTTTTAAAAAATATCTTTATATTTTTTTAAGATTTATATTAATTAATAAATTTATTATCTTAAGATATAAATAATTTATAATTTAATTTTGATTTTATTTTATTATTTACTTAAACTTTAATAATTTTAAATTTATAAGTAAAGATAATAATATTATCTCTTCTTCTTATAGATATAATAAATATTTAATGTTAACTTATTTAATCTTTATTATAATAATATTATGAGTTTCTTATTATTTATAAGTTTAATTATAATAAAATTTATTTTTTATATCTTGATTTTATCTTTTATATAAGTTTTTATTAATAAAATTTCTTAATACTTTATTATTAAGTAATATTTAGACTAATTTATTATTAACTTAATTATTGAATTTAAGTAGTCTTTCATAATTATTTTTTAAATTTATAAATTCTATTTTTTTTTTGTCAAAATATTTCTTTTTAAGAATCTTTAATATTTATAATTTTGATTTTTAATTTGAAATAATAATTCTTTATAAAATAATTAGATTTCTTATAATTATAATATATATTTTTAGACTTATTATTTCTCTAATTATTTTTCTTATTATAAAACTTTTTACTTAATCTAGTCCAATATATAAAACTATTATTTTAATAATTTTATTTTGATATTGATATATATAAATAATAACTATTATTATATCTGCTTGATATATTTAAGATTTTTATCTTAATTATATATAATAATATTATAATATTATAATAAATAACTAACTTTCAAACTTTTTCTAAATTCTTTAATACTTAATAATTAACTTTTATTTTTATAATAAATTTTAAATTTTTTATAAAATATATAACTTGATCTAAATTATTTATATTTATAATTTATTTAATTATATTTCTGAATTTTATATTATAATTTTATAAATTCACTTTGATAAAGAAAATATTAATTGATAGTAAAAATATTATTAATAATATAATAATTAAAAGATATCTTTAAGAGTAATTACAAATTCTTCTTATTTCTCATATAATATATTATTATTTTAAATTTTTTATTTATTAAAATACTAATAAAAATTATATTAGTTAAGATAATAATATATTATATTTATATTTTTTTTTAAAATAATTTTTATTTATACTATTTAAGTAAATATATTTTTTACTGGCTTTATAAAATAGATAGATAATTTAATAAAAAGATAAGATAAGAATTTTGAGTTAGAAGAATTTTTATTTTTAGTATATTAATTAATTTAGTTATATCTTATATAAATTATATAAATTATTTAAAATTTATTTTTATTCTATAAATAAACTAAAACTAAAATATATAAATAAAATTTATAGTCAGCTTAATAAAAATTAATCTGAAATTTAATTTTTCTATATATATAAATCATACTTTTTTATTTAAAAGTTTATGGAAAGATAAATTAAAAAATAGTTTGATTATTAAAATATAAATTAATTAGATTTTTATATAATAAAGTTAAAAATATGCTAGTATTATTTATGACTTGAAAATTTTTATTTTTTTATTTATTATAAGAATTAATAAAATTTATTTTATTATTATTTAATAAATTTATCCTATTATTATACAAATTATAAATTAAAGATTATAGAATTATTAATTAATATTAATATTTTAAAAAGATATTTATTAATTTTTATAAATATAATAATAATTCTTAATAAATATCATTTTAAAAAATTTTTTGATAAATATTTTATAAATATTTAATTAGATTAATATCTGAATTTTATACAAATCATGAAAAACTTAATATTAAATTATTTTTTTCTATTAATTAATCATTTTTATCTTATATATTGAAATATTATTATCTTGAAAAATATATTATGAATTATTTTTTAAACTATTATAAAAGAATAAAAAAGTATTTTTTTAATATTTTTATATATATAAAATCTGTTATATTATCTAAGACTTGAATTAAAAAACTAATTTTATCTATCATAAAATATTTATACATTATAATTTCTTGATTTTCATATTTTATAGTTGGAATTAGGCAATTTATATCATATTTTTTATATAATTATATCAGATTTAGTAATATATATTATTTTAAAATAATATAAAATAAATTTTATTATTTTAAATAATAAAATTCTACTTATTATTTCAATTTCTTCTTTCATAATACTATTTTAATCTTTTTTATAATTTTTTAAAAATAAATAATTTTCTCTTTTCAACTCATTCATAAAATCTTCAATATATAAAATATGCTTTATAATATTAAAAGATACTGAAATTAATAAAAATTTACTAAATTTTTTTTATTATTTTCTCTAGTAATTATTGCTAATCTTTCTTAACTAGTTTTACAAGACTTCTAATCTCTCTTTTTGTGAGTTTTAATAATCTTTCTGAATATAGAGTATTTATAATATTTTTTAAATTTTTGTATTTTATTATAATATTATGAATAGTAATTTTAGAATATTTAAGAATTTTTTTAGTATTTATTTAATATAATCTTCTTTTTAGAGATCTATAATTTCTTCTCATTCAATTTTAGTCTTTTAGATATTATAAAAGAAAAAAAATTTTATTTTCAGATAGCTAAAGACAAGAGCTACATAGAAAAAATTTATTTATTTATACTTAATAGTTTTAATGTAAATCATATTTTAATTAGTAATGATCTGTAATTATAAATCAGAAGATTAGATATTTTGATTAGAGAGTATATTTATAAAAGATAATTTTTTGAATAAATACAAGTTCAGTATAAATATTAATCATATTATTAAAAGTACAAGAAATTAAATTTAATAAAATGAGTATCTGTAATAATATGTAATTAGAAAATCTGAAAAATTAAAAAAAATAAAGAATTCTAGATTTATTTTAAGTTAAACAAAGAAATTATTAATAAGATTAAATTCTTTTATTAATATTTAATTTCTTTCATAACTATATTTTTTATTTTTATTTAACTATCAAATTTCAATTTGTCACTTTGATATTTCTCTCCCTAAATGCAACTAGTATGTATTGATATTTTATATTTGGAGAACAATAAGAAAAAGTCATTTATGAAAATTAAGTATATATTTAGGCCAGCATTTGAACTTCATTTAGGAAGATGATGCATTTAGGAAGATTATATTAGGAAGATCTGACTGCATACTTAAATTTCATAAATGCAATTTTCTTATTGTTCTCTAAGTATATGATATTAAAAATTGGTTCATGCAAGTTACATTTAGGGAGGTCTGACTGTATTTAAAAATGAATTAGCAAACAATTGATAACTTCGTATTGAAAGATGAAATTTAGCAAAGTCCATATATTAAAATCAATAATTATTCGTTGAAATTTGCTGAAAAGATTTTATTTATAAATTCAATATGAGGACTTTATCGTATGAGTAATTAAATGTCTCTTTTAGAAGAAAATGTCAACACAAAAGATCATTTGTAGAATACAGTCAAACCTTCCTAAATGCAACTCCCTAAAAGTAACACATACTTAAATTCAAGCTCAAACTTGGCCCAAATATATATAATTTAACCATCATAAATGCAATCTTATTGTTCTAAATGCACATTATCAAAAAGTTGAGTTGCACTTAGGGAGGAGATATGACTGTAATAAAATTAAAAAATTTTTATTAGAATTTTAATACATTTTATAATAATGCTGTATATTAAAAAATTTATTGCACATTTAATTCATTAAACCATTTGTAGAATTGATCCGTATTCGTAAATTACCCCGGGTACAAGTTAAGGGGGACATAGTACGACGTGGGTTACTTTACCCGGTAAAATACGGTATTGTATTTGTTTATTTTTCAAGCTAGTACAAAAAGAATAAGCTTGAAAAACAACATACAAAAAGAATAAACCTGAAAAACATTTAATGTAAACAATACATGTACTACATGTTCATCATGTATCGTCTTATTAGTTTTTGAAACATATGCCGATATTATCGATATTCAATCTAAACATTTAAATGCACAAATAAAAGTAGTTCATTACAACCCAGCCGTGAACAGAACAATACAATGTTTGCCAAAGTTATAAATACGTACTGTGCGTGTAATTTAAAATGGGTGATTGGAAAGATAACAAGCAGTTTGTTATCAAACCATTTCGTTGTTGAATTCAATGATACAGAGCATGGGTGAGTCGAGGCATTACTTTATCCGACAAAATTGTATAACGATAACTAATAATTTTAATTCATTTTGGCAATAGTTTGACGCGACGGCCTATAAGTGTTTTATAAATGACTATGTTTTACTTCATATATAAAATATCCGTTCTAATAGATTTTCAAACCTAATAAGTTTTAGAATTTGTACACTTTGTTTTATCAAGCAAACAGTATCAACAAAGAACCTATTAATGAATTCCCTTAGACGGTTAAAAATTTTTCCAGTTTTTTAGTGCTACTTTTGGCACAGCGAGTTAAACATTCTATGCTTGTGTCTTCTAGAATTCTATCAATCCTAATATTAAATTTTATTTGAAATAAATGATACTTAATTATTTAAAATAATTCTCAGCAACAAAATTAAATAAGGCAATTAAAAATATGTGCAAAGACGGTGGATTAATAAATAGGTGTAATTTTTTTAAAAACTTTCGTCAATATTCTCTTAAATTATAATTAAGTTTCACTATGAAAAATAAACCAAAAATTTCGCCTGTTTGCACATCGGACACTTTTGCCGAAAAGAAAAATATACCGGCAATTTCTGTACCTTTCCCACCAAACATAACGACTGAAGATTTCCTTAAAAGAAGAAAAGATGGCAGTCTTCCAAGCAGATCAATGAATTCTTTTATGCTCTATCGAGCAGCATTCAATAAAGAAATTCGCACAAAAAGATTATGTGTAAAACAAAAAAAATTATCACGTCGAATCTCGGATTCTTGGCAGAATGAACCCGAACACGTAAAACGAGTGTATAGGCGTCTTGCAATAAGAGCTCAACAAGAACTTGAACAAAAGCGCAATTTAATAGGATCCGGCCCATTTTTCGTCTTTGCGGCTGATGACAGATTTTGTTATTCAGAACCTTTTAATTTAGATAATATTAATTCCAATGAAAATATAATAAATGACCATTCTCCAGCAGAAGCAGCATCAGACTCGTACCAAATTACATCTATCAACAACGACAATAACGACGAAAACCATTTTAATTCGGGTATTATTGAACCTTATAAAACTATTATCAATGATAATTCTCCAGCAGAAGCAACATCAGACTCGTTCCAAATTACATCTATCAATAACGAAAATAACGACAAAAACCCTTTTAATTTAGATAATATTAAATCTTATGAAAATATAATCAATGTTAATTCTCCTATGCTCTTTCCCGCAGAAGCAGCGCCAGACTCGATTCAAATCAATAACGGCAATAACGACGAAAACTCTTTTAATTCAGATAATATTAATTCACATGAAGCTATGATCAATGATAATTCTCTAATGTTCTTCCCAGCAGAAGTAGCACCAGATTCGATCCAAATTACATCTACCAAAAATGAAAATTATACACAAGATTCATTTTATCATGATGATAATCTTTTTAAAAATTATTTAAGTAATTTTCTACCAATTCCGGAATTATCATCTGACGGAACGTTCATGGATATAAACTATTTGACACTATAATTTAATTTAAACCGATAATAAAGTCAACTTTAATAAATAACGATTAATTAGCTAAACACTTTTTTATTAAAGCGATACATAAACTCTTCAGTTCAGAATCAATGTTCAGGGTTTCTTCAAACATTATATGAACATTAACTCTGGCCATTCAAATATATTAGCAATTAATAAAACAAAGGCAATATCTATAGATATAAATGATTGAAAAAATACAACCTGTACTGGATTTATAATACAAATAATTATAAAACTTATATTATCTCTTAATTTGTATTTCAAGCAAAGCTGCCTGGAATATTTAGAACTTAGCTATCATTTTAAAATAAAATTTTCAGGAAATTTATTTAAAGCATATTTATTATTTGAATAGAATATTCATATTAAAAATTTAATCCTAATACTAACTCTAATATAATGAAACAATTAATTTAAATTAAAAATATACAAAACTTTACTGAATTAACAAGTCTTTATTTATTAATAAAAAATTATTAATAAAATTAAATAAAATTCATTATCAATAAATAAAGTAAAATATTATATAATAATAATATATAAAAATAAAAAGAAGTATTTCAGGCAAATATATCTGGAAATGATTTATAAATTAAGAGATAATTTAGAATTTTGTCATATATTATTTATAACAGAATAATAATCAACAATATTACAAAATAAAAATTTTAATTTAAATTTTATTAATTATAAAATATTATAAAAATAATAATTAATAAACTATTTTTCTTAACTTATAAATAAGAAGCTAAAATAATTAATAGAATTATAATTTGTAATATAGATAAATAGAATTAAACTTTAATAATATGGTATATTAAGAAAGCTTTTAAATAATTTTGTATAATAAAAATTAAAAATTTAATATAACTCCTTTAATATCTGATAACTAAAATATATTTCTGATTTTTCAGCATTTTTAACAAATTATTTTATATATAATTTAATATTATTATTATAATTATAGCAAATATATATAATATTTAATAAATTATTAAAATAAATAATATAAAAATATTAAAATAATATAAAAATAAAATAATTATAAAGAATTATAATAATTAATTTTAAATTTATTAATGAAGTTTATAAATAAAATTAAATAATATTTTACTTAAAATAATAAATTAAATAATAATTTTTATAAAAATAATAAAA